CTGGTCAACAGTAGACATGTACTAACAAGTTTTTTTTGCTTTAGGGGGCTGAAAGCAGATAACAGGTTTACACCAGTTTGGGCTGAAATTTGAAATAATGGTGAAAAGCCTTCTTTAAAAATGAATAAAGTATGAAAAACAAAAATAGCAAGTATGTAGTTATGACTGATTCTCAGACATTTCCTATTTATATAAAATGAGGCCAAATTTAACTTATAGTCACTGATTTACTATGAATACCTTATTCAGTAATCGCAATTTACTAACTACAATAAGAGCTGTGTCCACTGCTGTGAGGACAAGAGCTATTCAGCAGGAAATTTTACTTGAGGAAAAAAATCCCAGGGAAATAGTTCATAAACACTGGTTATGATTCCAAGAAAAAACTGTATTTCATTGTAAAAGTCATGCTGACTCAGGAACATTGCCAGACTGAAAATTCTTCAGGCTTAATTACCATACAAAGACAATAAAAACACTTGAAACCTTGACTAGGGAAACAAATTATGAAAATCACATTTAAGAACATTTCTATAGTAATAATTTATAATGTGATTGAATGTAAAGGGAATTTAGAAGTATGACATAAATTTGCACAGATCTTACATAAATATTTGAATATACTCTCTAAACTGATCATGATAGAGATGGAAGAGGAAGGATTTAAGAGTGGAAGAAAAAACAGAAAATGACCCCTATTCCACTAGTCATGAACATGGAAAAGCAAATCATCTCCATCAATGCAGAGTGAGGGGAAGTTAAGAAAAACAACCACAAGCTCAGGATTTATAATCCTTAAGTCCCCTGTAGGAGGCACATAGCTAATATATAAACTTTGCCTGTCAGATACTTAATATATCTGTTGACACAAATAAGGACAAGTTTATAAATCAATAACATTCAATATTTAGCATTCAATTAATTCCTTTATTCATTGTACATTAGATGTTAATCTTACATTATATAATCTCCAATGACCAGTTTTTAGTAATGGATGTAAGTCTATGCATTTGAATAAAAAAAAAATACTTAACTGGTACTTTCAAAATCCAGGATAGAGGACAGTGATGTTTGTCACTTCAAACCAGAACAATGAGATGGCATTATGATAACACAAAATATCTAAAATATCAAGCACTACTTGTCTAAAGTCAGGAATATAGCAGTCAATTAAATCCACCTCTCTTGCATAGCATTCCATGACAGTGAGTAAATTTCACCACCCATGTCTGTCCAGTTTTACTTGATGAGCAGCAATCATCAAAACAAATATAGAGCCACTGAAAATCCCTAAGTAAAATATCAAAACCCATCATTCACTCATATATCTTAAATTTCTTTCATTGTAAAATAGTAAATATTTCTACTGAAGAAAACTTTTTTGATTGTAGTGATCAAACATAAGCATTAGTTGAGACTAAAATATACTCAGCAGAGAACATAATTTTATATTCATTTTATGGTAAAAAAATGGGGGAACAGTTACAAGTAGAATTTAATGAGTTAAAGTCACTCAGATGGGTGGGTTGTTTAGTTATTAACTTGATTAATTCGTATTACTAATACATCAAGAAAGCAAATTCACAAACTGCTCATTGTATACCAGTTAAAAGTTTCCCTATTTTATTCTCAATTGAATGCCATCTTTTTTTTAAAAAAAAAGATTTATTTATTTATTCATACAGAACTGGGGTTGCAGGCCAGAGATGCGGAGGGTGAGAGGATTCACCAGAGACAGAGCGGGAAGCAGAACAGGCAAATCGATGAAGTACACTAATGAGGGGCATAGCGGGCGGGTCAGGAGAGGTCTGGCCCACCATGTGGATCACCTCTGGGGCTGGCAGGGATAGAACTCATGAGGAAGTGGCTTTAGCTTCTTAGTGCTGTGCTTTAACCCGCTGGCCACCAGGGAGGGCCAAGAATGCCATCTTTTATTTGGTACAAAAGGAGTGAGGTGGGGGGAGGGGGAGTCTGATTGTCCATTTCCTTTTGCAGCTAGGCAAGCAAGGCTAGTTGCTAAGTGGTGGACCATGGGTGCAAATAGGAGTGAGATGTGCGATCTGCAGACATTTCCTTATAGACAAAGGGTCTGTCCTCTATTGCTACTTGCCACTTCCTGTCAGTTAAATACTATAGCCAATAGTAAAATAGAATTTATAAAATAAAGAAAACACTCGGTGTTCCTGGCAAAGGAGTTATCATCCTGTTGAGCAAGTTATCTTTATGCACTGCAGTGGCTAAAGCTTAGGTTAGGTGGGCTCACTGTAAACTTCAGATCATCTTAGAATCACCTGACATGGGGTTAAATAGTACCTCTTGATAGCACATGGAAAGGAGTGGTGAGACAGCAGGAACTCTGAGGCACAGTGCTAGAAGATTTCAGACTTTTTTTTTTTATTATTTGTTTTCTCTTTTTAATTTAAAGCAAGGATGGCCCAAATAGTGCCTGCAGGCCAAATCCTGCTCACTGCCTATATTTCATAAACTAAGTTTTATTGCAAAAAAATAAAAAATAAATCACTGTGGATATTGGAGGGTCAAGGTTTGACCACAAAACAGAAAGGTACACTGTAGAGAACAGAAAACATCAAAAATAGATACCACAGCCTGGATAATTCATACATTTCAGCCTAACATTCATCATAAGATAGGAATAAACTTGTTTTGTTCTATCCACTTGTAGTTAAGGTGATTCCTTATAGCTACCCCAATATTGGGGTGATAAATGATAAATGATAAAACATGGTTGATTTTTAGTTAATATTTAGGAGTATATGAGATAACAGCATTAATATATGTATAACATTTTGATTTTTCCCAATCGAATTTTGCAAAGTATAAAGTGGATTTGTTTGTCGTTCCATGCAAACGCTCAAAACTTTTACATTAAATAGTCCAATTCCAGCAAACTTGACTGCATTAGCAGAAGTCTAAGGGTATTCAGAACTAAATGACATTTGGTATTTTGTCTGGTTTTTAAACAAAAATATATGTCGTGACTTTTTCAACAACACAATATGTATTTACAGAATTTGGATCATCATCTTTAGGAAACACTTGATTGTAGAATAATATCACAACATGTTAACTTATCCACTTATTTACTATGAAACCTCTATCATAGATTTACCAATTATTATTATTTTTTTAATGATATTCACGCAGTGGGTTAAGGCACAACACTAAGAAGCTAAAGCCACTTCCGCATGAGTTTAATCCCTGCCTGCCCGGACGTGATTCACATGGCGTGGCAGACCTCTCCTGACCAGCTTGCTGCTCCCCTCAGCAGTGTACTTCGTCGATCTGCCTGTTCTGCTCCCCACTCTATATCTAGTGAATCCTCTCATGGCCCCTGCACTTCTGGCCTGTACCCCAGTTCCATATGAACAAATAAATAAATCTTTTAAAAAAAATGATATTCATTCTTAAACTAACCAACATTTTGAGTATTGTGCTATTTTGACTTTTATGCTATTTTGACTTTAATAAGCCTTATCTTAATCTGTAAAATGACATACATACTCATCATAAGAATATAGTCTGTACTAGTAGTTAGGTATATCTCAAAGAAAGAAAATACTTTTGCTTGAAAACAACTCTAGTTCTTCACCTTTAGAGGGAAAAAAATAAAACCTAACCCTTTGATAATGTAAATATGCCTTTATGGTTTAATTTGGACAAAATGACTAATAGTAAGACTAAGTTAATTGAATAAATTATGCTATTTAGAAATAGTAATAGTGGTATCACCTGGAAACTACAGTATTTCAAGCAGAGTATATTTATTGGATATTTTTTCATGAAATCAGCTTTACTGAGCTGATCTATTTTTCACTTTCTTGTTAAACAGCTGGGGGAAATGTTATACAATAGCACTGGAATACAATTTTTTTTTTATCCAGATTTTAAAAAGTGTGAATAACATGGTAATTAGATTTGTTTGATTTTTTTCTTTTATCTATCTATCTCAAGTGCTCAGAAGGACACCTAAAGTATAGGAAGGCCTCGATAAATTTTGGATAAATAAAATAGGTTAGACTTTTTGTGATGAAAAAGTCAAATATATGGGAATCTGAATGATTTAAAGTATATATTTTATTTCAGAATTTTGCAAATGTTGCCAGCATAAATCACTAAATATTTTAATATCTGTTCAAATGTGCCATTACTATAAGTGGCTTATTTTTTTTTAATGTTTATGTATTTATGCATATAGAACTGGGGTACAGGAGAGAGGTGCAGGGGCGGTGAGAAGATTCAACAGAGTTAGAGTGGAGAACAGAACAGGCAGATGGACGAAATACACTGCTGAGGGGAGCAGAGGGAGAGTCAGGAGAGGTCTGCTGCGCCATGTGGATCACCTCCGGGGTGGGGGATGGAACTCACACTGAAGCTGCTGCAGCTCGCTTGCAGTGCTGTGCTTTAACCTGTTTTGCCACCAGGGAGGGCCCAGAAGTGACGTATATTTACTAAAATAACCCATTTTCTAAAATCACGTGCACTAGTGTCATTCATTTAATAAGGACCTACTAGGCCATAAAGACTGAACAAGGCGGCACCAGCCGACGCCGCTGCAATGCTGCGTGACAATCACATTACAGTTGCCAAGTGTGGCTCTCCACAGTGTGTACAGTCCAGACATGCCCAGTGACCCTGAAGACAGGAGCCAAGGTACAGAAAAGGGTGGCAACCGGTCTCTGGCTTCAATATTGTGAATGGACTGTGGCTGTTTAAGTTGGTGCAGTGAACTGGGGTCTGAATGTGTGCAAGAGGAATTCGTAGCGAGGACATTTCCCCTTAAGAAGACTGCAGTAAAACTTGTTGAAACCATATTAGTACTACAACCATCATTACCTTACCATCTAACTAGTAATCATCTTATGTTATCAAATATCTTCTGAAAAAGTTAAAACAGCGAATCCAGCTTTTGTGTTAAACCGATCTCGCTCTACCATAACTAAATTTATCTTGGAATTTCATGTAAAACTTTTCATACTCACATCAAGTTCATCCTTTGCGTTGTAGTAGACAACTTCATTACTCTATAAAAAAAGAGAAAAGGGGATTTATTGATATGAATATAATATAAATATTTTACAGATCAACTATTAAATAAACCTCACATATATCTTAACTAATAAAATATAATATTCCCTTAATGATATAGTTCATAAAGATCCAGAGAGATCAGTCAAACCTCTTACTCAAACAGTACATCAGTAATATTAGGAAAGTATACCTTGTATTCAGGGATACGATGTTAGTACAGCTCTGAGACCATGAGCCAAGAAAAAATAATTATAGTGTAAATCAGTTACACACACACATCCCCAAACACATAAATGCACACACATATACACCTGAGCCATAAAATGATATACAAGATTAATCAAGAAAAATACAGTAATGCTTGCTAATATTTTGCTAAAGTCATATTAATAATATATAGAATTAGGGTTGACATTATTCCTGAAAAAAAGGTGTATCTGAAAATACTGGTGCAAATGTACTCAAGAAACTCAGGTTAGGGATCAATACTGTGAAATACACAGTTATCAGATTATCAGATTATCAATACTGTGAAATACAGTCATCAGATTATCTGACTCATTAATATTCTCATACCCTACCGAAGTGGTGAATTAGTATTAGCCCTTCAAAAATAAATATACATGGCCATTTCTGATTGCAATCAATATTGCTGACATATGCCATAAATATAAATTACAGACATAAATTGTTTTATAGAAGAACAGTGGGAAAGGAATGAGTAAAACAATTGTCAAGAAATTTTAAATTCCTATTTATTTGTGTCACTACTTTCATGAAATAGAAAAGTAATCCACTTAAACATATCTCCTTTTTTTCTTAAGAACTGTAAGAGAATTCGGTTACCTTCTATATTATTAGTTTTGTAATAATCTGCTTTCAGCAGTAACAAGCATAATGAAAAAAAAAA